AAGTAAGAACCAAGAGAGATTATGTAAAGGTGCAAATTTCCAATGATGAATGTCATTATATTGTATACCTAAAATGTACCAATAAAATAAAATTTAAAAAGAAAAGAAAAGAAAAACAACTTGAGAACTGGCTTCAAACATTACTGGAAAGGAATTTTTTTACCCATAATATCCTGGACCTTATACATGAGTTACTGTTATATGAATCTTAGTATTTGGTGCATCTAAAAAGTTTGAGCCAGGGATTTAGCTCAGTGGTTCCACCAGCTGCCTTGCAAGTTCAAGGTCCCGAGTTCAATACCCAGTACCAAAAAAAAAAAGTTTGAGGACTAAAGTACATGACTTCAACATTTTATAGTACCAACTCTTGTTATGTGGTATGGATACTGGGGACAGCTACTGTACTAAAATATTAAAGTTGCTGCAAACCATTTATTTCTGGATGAAAATACAGCTTAATAATTACTCCCTCACAAAATATGTACCCTAAGTGTTAACCTGTTTATGTAAAAAATATTTCCTGGTAGATACAGTAAAATTCAAAAATAAAAAAAAAAACACTCCCAAAGAGCCAGATGTAGTGTCGCATGCCTGTAATCCTAGCACTCGAGAGGCTAAGGTAGGATGACTGCTGTGAGTCTAAAGCCAGTCTGAACTACAGTCAGACCTTGTCTCAGAAAAAAAATACTCCCCCAAACAAATTTCTATGACTCACTGCGATAAGATATATCTTTAAAGAAAATAATTAAAACACAGGATGACTTAAGAAGTGAAAAAAGTTATGACAATACTGGAGGGCTCACTTGAAAAGGATGTTACCTTGCTCTTCTGATCCCATTTGCAGAACTCTCTATCATTTCTAAAGAGTTTTATTATTATTATTATTTTTTGGTACCAGGGATCAAACTTGGGTCCTTGCGCTTGCACAGTAGGCGGCGAAACCACTGACCTAAATCCCCAGCCCTCTAAAGAGTTTTAAAAGATGTTAATCCTTGACATCACTCAAGAAAAGATATTTTGTTTTTCAATGATTTTGCCATGACATTCTATACTTCTTTTCAAAAGATTATGTTACAAAACAAATGTCAGACAAAACAAGGAACAATGAAACAACCAGACAAAATTCTTCAGAAAACAGCAATCAATACTTGTCTAAAGGAAAATTGCATCCTTTAATAAATTAGGTAGTAGGTACAACAAGAATATTAAAAAATTCTTAAAAGTATAAATTTCTACAGCCAGGGATGTACCCCAGTGGCACTGTGCCTGCCTGGCAAGCACAAGGTCCTGAGTTCAATCCCTGGTACCACACACAAAAAAGTATACATTGTTTGGATAATGGTTTGACTTTCCCTCTAGAGTTCATGTGTTGTAAGCTTGGTCCTTAGTGTAGCAATGCTAATACTTCTAATCTTTAGAACTATTTCACTTTTTCAAACATATCATGCATTAAATTGTTTTTTAATGGCGAAATGGTCAAGCTATTGATCTATAATGCTGGAAGGAGACTTTAGTAGTAAAGCAGCTAAACTAACACCTAGATATTACCTGTTAAATGAATGAAATGGTTCCACTTTTTTGGCCAGCTTAAGATTTGTATGTACTTTATCTCCTGAAATGATGGGAGACTAAATAATAAACACCTAACCAAGAAGCAAATGCATAGTCAAAAAGGTAATTCACATACTACAAGTACCTATGGGCTATTTGTTGCAGAATAAGCAAGTACGTACATAGGCACAAATAACACTTGGTCTGTTTCTAAGAAGAGTTTCCACAACCAAAAGTGGACCTGAAAAACCTTACGTCAAATATGAATAGAGGATTGATTGTTCTCAGCATAGGGATTAAACCAGCAAAGAAAAGATTCACAAAGACAAAAGGATTTTAAATTCTAGTTAGTTATCCTTAATTGATGCAGGTAAGACAAATACTGTCAGATCTATAAATCTTAAGCTTTTTAAATTTTGGATTATAATATTTCAGGGCCTTCAACTCAAATATTAGCAATCTAACAATAAAACAATGGTAACCATTCATTATTTACCTGTGTTGTAGCAAAGAAATATGAAAGGTTGTTTCTAAAAGAACTGGAAAAGGGTTCCTGATTTATACTCTGGAATAGCAGCATTTTAGGTGTTTTTTGGGGGGGAGGTACAGGGAAGAGACATAAAGGTGAGAGAGGAGAAGCGAAGAAACAAAGGGAGGAGACTGGCAATTAAAACTCTCCCTTAAGGCTGAAGTCTTCTCTTAATTAGGTTTAGGAAAAAAAAAAAATCACTTCTTTATAGTTTCAGACAACCTGAAGATAAAGATAAATAATTAATGAACTTCACTTCCACATCTTGACGTGAATGTTTAAGCCAGAGATAGAAAAATGAAGAAAACAGACATCTACACCCTATATATGCAAGTATCTATTAAAGTGTTTATTAAAAAATAAATCTGAGGAATAAAGACTTTCTTCGTAAAATTGAAATCACTTTAGAATATACTTTTATGAACTATGTAGGTGGTCTTGAAAATGGACCAAAAGGCCTGCTTGCCTGAAGTAGAGCAGTGTGACTGGAAGCACAGCAGCCAGACCCTACCTCAAGAGGACAGGTAATTTACATACAAGTGACATGAGGAAAACAGAGACTTGAAAACATTATCTTCAGTCACTCTTTAACTCCAGGAGGGGCTAAACTACACTTGGAGACTTCTAAATTATTATAGATCTTGGTAAGTTGAAATGGGTTCTTTCTCTATACTTCTTACAAAAAATCCAAGGTGAAACAGTTTTAATTCAGCAGGGAAATCTCTATAATTAATTTTTTGGCCTATAGAAGACAGATAGTGTCTTTACACAGAAGAGAATTAAATTTTACTAAGTTTTCAAATGAAAAGAAGGGTATATCATTTAGTAGAGTTTGGTACTTGGCAACCTACTTATCACCTGGGTTACTTAAAATGCAAATCCAGCCGGGCAGGGTGGCACACACCTATAATCCCAGTACTTGGAAGGCTAACACAGGAGGACCATCCCAAGTTCAGGGCCAGCCTGAACTACTTGGCAAGACCCTGTCTCAAAAACAAACAAATAAACAAAAATGCAAATGCTCAAGCTCTGCCTCTAGAGAGTCTGGCAGTAGTGGAAGCCTAGGAAATATATATTTTAAGTATATTTTATGATCATTCTAAGGGATTCCAATTTACATGATACAAGGAATAGAATTTGAGGAATACTGCCCTCCATTACTTGGATAGCTCTACCTATCTACTGTATTACCAAGAAAAACAGCAACAAAAAGCAATTCACAGACTTCTAGACATTGTAATTGCAAAAATAGTTTTTCTGCTGTTTTTTTTGGTACCAGGGATTGAACTCAGGACCTTGCGCTTGCAAGGCAGGCAGCAGAACCACTGAGCTAAATCCCTGGCTCCTTTTTTCTACTGTTTTAACATAAAGCTCTCATGGCTACTGTGCAGAAATGGGTTATGGCTCGTGTATCTCTTGCAAAAATGGAAACATCCTTTGATCAAATTTGATCACTAACAGTGATATTTTTTGCACATGTTCAATATACTAATTAAGACCACACTTGGTTCAAATTTTACAATAATATCACAAGAGAGGTTTCAAGTATGGGTAGTATGAGAAGTATGAGAAGGGAGGACAAATCAATTACCAGTGCTTACAATGTGTTTAAAGAACCATTTTAATCCCTATTCATAAACAACTCAATAGTTCAGAGCAATAGAGTCTAGCAAGATGGAAAGGTTAATTTATACAAATACCCTGGATTGTAGGGCAACAGACAGCAGTCAGTGCCAAGCAAGCACTCTTTTGAATTGAAAGAATTCCTGTGTCCAGGTCAACTTGAATTACTGTGTCAAACCTGGTCAATAATTCTGGCTTAGTGAAGAATGGGAAGCAAGAACCAACAAGGAAGAGAGGTTATGTGGTATCTATGCTATTCTAGGCAGCACCTAGATTGTTGTCTTTTAACAATTAGAGGGTACTTTAACAGCTATTTGAAATTGTAAGAGAATAAATACAACAGATGGAACTACCCAGCTTGTGGGAAGCAGCAAAGGCTTTTGTATTTTCTTCCTGATATATAATCCAGATATATTAAGGTTTTCAAATGTTCTAATACTTAATCTTTTGTTTTTGTATATCATCGCATTACCGGGAAGATGTGGGCCCATTTGAGCTTGAAGAATGAAATAAATTTGGGAAACAGGGACAAAAAGGCCTTTGCTATTATAAAAAAGACAACATATGAGAAAAAATTAACTTTCCAAAATTTTTTTTTTTGTACCGGGGATCAAACTCCAAATTTTTTAATATAGAAGCAATTATCAACTGTTCCATATAATGTAAGAATAAGATAACATTCTATAACTGAACCCATAAACTAATTTCTTTCAAAACCATACAGAGAATATAGCTTTAGACTTTTAATTTTAAAAATAAAGCATATAGCAGCATTAACAAAATGTTTCCTACTGTCCAAGACTCAGCTATTCTTTTTCCTGAGAGGTACTGAGTCCAAATTCCTGAAAACCAGGACTTTTGCTTGGGGAAAAAGTAAACATTTTTAAACCTTTTAACTTCTCTTTAAGATAACTGTTTAACAAAGCAATTCTACTTGAGTAAACAAATATAACGCTTGAAACACACAAGAAAAACTGATGACTTCTTACCTTGCTACCACTTTGAGATTTAAGATCATTCTGTTAAAAGAAAAAAACAGTATTGTAATACATATCCAAATGAACTCTTACTTCTTATTTCTGCTTATTTCTAATGTTGGAACATGGGACTATAACCTGGTAGTAGTGAATTCCTGGGAAACTTCAGGGTCTGAAGATGGGAACTGACCCCCTACTCGTACCGTATCAGGGTCTCCTGTTACAATAGTATGTATGAAGGAATTAAAAGTCCATAGTTATATCACCTTTGGCATGGGACTTCCAAGAACTACCAAATCACTGTTTTAGGTAAAGATGTTATTAGCTGCTATATAAAAATCAATCAATCAATAAAATAAACCAAAAATCAATCCCCTTAGCTTTTCAGAGACACTGCACATGTTGTACTATAAGGCTAGATGATTCCTAGAGAAAATGTAGCATGATGACTGGGCTGATGAATTTCTATTTTAATCATTCTCTCATTCCATTCTGTGGCTATTCAGTAGTTTTCTCTGCATAAGCGCTCCTTACTTTCTGATAGTTCTTACCGGATGGATATCACCAATGTAGTATTGCTTTAGCATTTCTCTGGCATCAGAGGAATGGCCTACATCTTCAAAGCTTTCACTTGCATCTACACCAGCTTGTTCCAGCAGAACCTCTTCTCCACCAGGATGCTACAAGGAAAAGGTATTTATTGAAGCAAGCCTTCCCTGAAAAGCAAAACAGTCTGTTTTTTCTCCTGTCCCCTTTCCCTCCTTTGTCTTTTCTCCTTTTTAAAGGGATTAATAAAAAATGACATTGTATGCCACCTGTAAGGATGCAATGTAAAAAACACAGCAAAATTTCTATAATATTCTTGCTAAATCAGGCATGGTTGTGTACATCTGTGATCAGTAGTCTGGTGGGCTGAGGCACGACTGCAAGTTTGAGTCTAGCTTGGACAACTTAGTGACTTAGCAAGACCCTGCTTCAAAATAAAAAATAAAATAGAAAATAAAAGGGATGGGGATATAGCTCAGTGGAAAGGCCCTGGGTTCAATCCCCAGGATAGTGGACCCTCGAAATACAAACATACGACTGACCTGATATACAAACAACTTGGGTTGTGACTGGAATTTTAGTTTTAACTTATGAACAAGTCTTAAGTTACGACCCAAATGCTGGCTGCTTGAGCTTCCAGATGACCTGAGATATAGATTTAACTCCTAAAGAGTTCTGGAAGGAACATTACAACATCCTTGCCTGTGTTGCATTAACTGAGAAATCCTAGCCCAATGTCTCTCTAAGGACACTGAGAATTGCCTGTATACAGAAGAGAGACTTTGAAGGCTGTGTAGAGGAGTCTGAGCCTTCAATGGACCAACTTGAGTTATAACCAGCCCTCTCGAACGAATTGAGTTCGTAAGTCAAGGGTCCACCGTACCACACATATATACACAAAAAGTTAAACATAGTATTACCCTATGACCACCAATTCTACTCCTAGGTGTAGAGTCAAGAGAAATTAAAACACATATCCACATAAAAACTTGTATATGAATGTTCATAATAGCATTATTCATAACATCCCCAAAGTGGAAACAATCCAAATGTCTAACAACTGATAGATAAATAAAATACAGTATATCTATACAATGGAATTTTTTAGCAGTAAAAATAACGAAGCAGTGATACATCCTACAACAAAGTAGATGCCTGAAAACATTAAATGAAAGAAGTCAGTCACAAAAGGTCACATATTACATATTTCATTTACACAAAATGTCCAGAATTGGCAAATCTACAGACAAATTACTGGTTGCCTATAGCCGAGGTTACTGTAGGATGTACAGTGATGGCTAATGGGCATGTTTCTTTTTGGTGTGATAAAAAAATCCTCTGCCTGCTGTGCAAGCACAAGGACCCGAGTTGGATCCCCGGTACCAAAAAAAAAAAATCCTGGGACACTGGGTGTGGTGGAGCAAATCTATAATCCTGGTGACTCAGAAGGCTGAGGCAGGAGGATTATAAATTTCAGGCTAGCCAAGGCAATTTAGCAAGACCTTGTCACAAAAAAATAATAAAATAAAAGAGCTGGGGATATAGCTCAGTGGTAGAGTACTTGCCTAGAAAACATGAGGCTCCAGTTTGGTCCTCAGCACTGCAAACAAAATAAAAAGTTCTCAGACTTGGTAGATGTAGCCAGGCATGGTGTGGCACACCTGTAATTCTACCACTCATGAGCCAGGAGGATCACAAGTTTCAGGCCAGCCTGGGGTACATAGCAAGTTCAACACCAGCCTGGACTGTATACATAGTGAGACCTTGTCTCAAAAAACAAACAAAAACTAAACCAACCAACCAAACAAAGAAAAAAGTAAGTTGCAAGGGCTCCATCACCTTCTGAATATACTTGAAGGCTGAGCATGATGGGGCATGTCTGTAAACTCAGCACTGGGGAAGCTAAGGCAGGAGGGTTGTTATGAATTCAAGGCCAGCCTGAACTACATATCAAGACCTGTCTCAATTAAAAAAAAAAAAAAAAAAAAAAAATATCTATATATATATATGTATATTTGAAAACCACAGAATTGTAGACTTTAACAGGTATGTTTTATAGTATTTAAGTTATGTCAAATAAGCTATTTTTTTTTTTTAAAAGTCCATTGCAAGCCATTTTGAAAGGGTGACAAATACAGCAGAGTCAACGGGTATAAACACAGCCAAAGAAAAAGTCACCTTGCTGCTAATGGGGTCAATGCTTCCAGGATTACAGTTGCAGTAAAATTACAGGAATAAAACACAAGGTTGTGAGATGGAAACAGAGGCACAAATACTGCACACTAGGAAGAAATTGTACAGTTAAAAAAAAACATATTCAGGGCCAGGGATTTAGCTCAGTGGCACAGTGCCTGCCTCAAAAGTACAAGGTCCTGAGTTCTATCCCCGGTACCAAAAAGCAAAACAAAACAAAAACATATACAAACAGAATAAAAAGCTGTGGATTAAGTGAAGTTATTTTCAAGTCAGAGATACTCAGTCCAACTGAATGACAAAGAACAATTAATTTTATAGAAGAACACTTCTTCTAGAAGAAAAAAGATGATATAGAGACAAAAAAAGATGATATAGACTTACTCAGCTAAAGTAACAGATGTAAAATACTGTCCAATCTCCTTTCCAAACTTCCCAATTAAGTGTGGACAGTATGTAAATCTGAAATGATTCTTGTAAACTGTGTGAGGGAGCCAGTGAGTTAAAGAAGGCACCCGTCAAGCGGCAGGACATTTGTGTGTCGTTGATCTTCTTGGTTTCATATCCTTTTCCAGCTCATTTACTTGCCAGGAGCAGAAACCAAGAGTAGAGCCAGTGAAGGCTGAAAACTGATATAAAGAACTGAAAGGTGAGGACTGGACTGCACCTCAGTGGTAGCGTGCTTGTCTCGCATGCTCAGGGTCCTGAGTTCCATCCCCAGTAATGCCAAGAAAAAAAGGGCATGTGGCAGGGGTGGGGGGATTGAAGGGTTGAGGGAAACAGACCCTTGGTGCCAATAGTAGTGGGGAGTGCATTAGAATTTATAGAAATTACATTCAGTTACAAAGAAGGTACCTGATGTACCTTAGATTATTTAAAAGGAAGCTGTTAACAATCCAAGAGCACAAACATCCCTATTTAACTAAATAAATACCTTTCCAATATTATTCTTTATACCAGAAAGTCATTTATTAAAGAAAACTACAGAGTTTTCTACTACTGGATTTTACCTTCTCCACTGACCAATTATTTCAAGAACCTCAACTACCTCAAAACCTTGAAAATTAACATTTAGTAATAATATTGGATTCTTTCCAGTAGGACAACACTGCACCCATTCATCAGACTACAATCCTGGGAGTGTTAGAAAATGCTTCCCCTTCCCATTTGACACTATTAGCCAACAACAGGTTCTGACAGCCTGAACTTCTTAGCAGCTTAAAGCTTATAATTATAAGGGCACTAACAACTATGAAACATATTTATACCTCATTCATCAAATTAAGAAAAGGGGGGCTGGGGATTTAGCTCAGTGGTTTCACCGCCTGCTGCATAAGCGCAAGGACCCAAGTTCAATCCCTGGTACCAAAAAAAAAAAAAAGAAAAAGAAAAGAAAAGGTATTTAAGTGAAATGCAAAACTCAAATTAAAGGAATATAGATACAGTAATAATAAAAGGAATATAGATATAGTAATAGTCCAGACAAATTTCCTAGGTACTCAATCACTGAAAACACAACAAGCCAGGAGAGGTAGTGTGGAATAACCAAGAACTCTCTGGAGGCTAGAAATAACTGATAAACTGCAGTCACTTGGACTTGACTTATTTTACATATAATTAAAACCTACCACATATAATTAAACTACACAAACGCAAGTCCAGCCAAGTATACTGGAAAAGAAAGTTAATAAAGCCTAAGAGAGACAAGAGAGTACAGAGGGCCGGTGGTGTAGCTCAGTGGTAGAATGTTGCCCAGCATGTGAGAAGCTATGGGTGCCGTGGGTGGGGGAGGGAAGTGGGAGTGGGACAAGGATAGGGACAGGGACAGGGAGAAAGCAAGGGATAAATTCAGAACAACCACTGTTCTTAGTAATAGTCCTAAATCAAGAAGACATTTACTTGTAGTATATTCCATACAATCGGGAGAATTTTTTCATTGCAGTAAAATGCACATAACATAAAATTTACCATTTGCTATGGTTTGAATGTGTCCCCTCTGAAATTCACATGTTAAAACTTAATGGCCAGGAGCCAGAGATTTAGCTCAGTGGTTCTGCCGCCTGCCTCGCAAGCGCAAGGTCCCAAGTTTGATCCCTGGTACCAAAAAAACCAAAAAAACTCCCCCAATAGCAAAAAACTTAATGGCCAGCGTGGTAGTATTAAGAAGTTGGGAGAAAAAAAAAAAGAAGTTGGGACTTTCAGAGGTGATTAGGTCATGATGGCTCCTCCCCTCTGGCATGGAAAAGGCCCCTTATAAAAGAGGCTTCACCTGGCAGTCCACTTCCCGCTTCCACCATGTAAGGACAGAGCTTTTCTCCCCTCTAGAGGATGCAGGAACATGGGCCATCTTGGAAACAGAAAGCAAACCTAATCAAATCTACTAGCACCCTGATCCTGGACTTCCCAGCCTCCACATTCAGCTGCTATTTGTTTTCTATGTTTCATTTGTTTCTTCATCCCTCATTTCCTGCATTACCATTTTTCTTTTGTTTTTGTTTGCTTGGTTGTTTTTTTGAGTTAGTCTCACTATACTGCTCAGGCTGGCCTTGAACTTAGAATTCTCTTGCTTCCACTTCCCACATAGCTAGGTCCACAGGCAGATGACACCACACCAAACTAGCTAATGTTTTTACACTAAAACATTTAAATTCCCATCTCATTTCCTTTGTCCTTGGCATATAAAAATTCCTTGACTCACAATAGTTCCACTTAGGGTTTTTCGACTCTGTGATAGTGAGAAAGTGATATGCATTCAGTAAAAACTATTATTTCAATTTTTGATCTTTTTGGGGGTAGCAATATCCAGTATGATGCTCTCTCATACACACACAATGCTGGGGGCTGGCAGAGAGCTGCAGATTCTATTTATTTATTTGTTTGTTTGTTTTTTGGTACCAGGAATCGAACTCAGGACCTTGAGCTTAAGAGGCAGGCGGTGGCA